AATTTTTTTTCTTATAATATAAACTCCAATTTTGCAAAAAAGTAATCCTTATTTTCAAATATAATTGTACAAAGTTTAATTTAATTATTTTGGCATCTTAAAAAAGTAAATCAGAGCTAAAAAAGTGCAAAAATGCAGGCAAATTTGTCTACATTTTGCTACAATCTAGAGGATAAGACTCTAGTTATTTTTTTTCTCTCTATTCTTTTTCTTAATACTGTAAAGGTTGATAACTTGGCAATATTTTGCCTTAGGCCTGATTTTTCTTTTTTGCCAAATTTGGTTTTAGTGATCAACAGGAAGAGTTTTTTTTTTTTGACAGCAAGCAACTTTAATTACAATATATATAATAACTTACTTTATTTTTTATAACCGTCCAACTTTTATCTTCTTTAGTTAATGTAGAATCTATTAAAAGAATTGTATTCCACAACATATTCATATCTAATTCTGTTGCAGCTTCAAATATTTGAAAATTTTTATCTTTCAATTATAAGTGCTGAAATATATTATTTAATAAATCAATTGTATGGTTTAAGCTTTCTTTAAGATTTTCTTTTAAACTAGGAGTTTTTTCTGCTGCTTTTCTAATATCATTCATACTATTACATTGTGACATTATCTTCTCAGACTTTATATCCATTTCTTGACGCATAAGACCAACACATTGCAATCCTAAATTTAAAGTAGACATTATTCTTTCTACTGGGTTTTTCCATGAATGACCAGGTGGTGTACGAATTGCTACTAAATAGTCTAAGTCTAATTCAAGAAATAAACTAATAAGTGCAGTTTGTGTTTTAATATATTTTACTTGATGGTCTGAACTACCATCAGTATATAAAAACAAATAAGGTTTGCTTGTTTCTTTGATTACTATATCATAAAGTTCTAGCTGCACTTGATGATTCAAATATAGGATCTTTTAAGCCTACATAAACATTACCATGATAAAATAATTCATTTATTAATTTTGGTATTTTAGCATGCATTATAATACTTGGAATAAGACCACATTTGGTAAAATCATGATTAGCAATAGCAAATGTCATTCCTTTAGCTACAATTACTGATTTTCTGTATTCTACAGCAGCTACTTGATGATTTGGCTCACCAACTTTACAGCGATGTTTATCATCTAAAAAAAATAAATTTGAATATTCTCTATATTTAACTGCCATTTCTTTTTCATATCGGAATAATGCTGATGCATAATGAAAATCAGGAGGTCTATATGTAATTGACGTGCTTGGACCATATATTTAATATCCAATTTTCCAGTATAATACTTAGATATCTTTACAGCCTTATTATTAGGACTAAATTGCATGCATAACCACTGCTTTGATAGAATTAAAGTATTAGAAGGACAAATTTTTTTAACTTGATCTATTAAATCCCGTACTGATATAGCATATGATAAATGTACAACTGTTCCATGTCATCTATCATCAACTGCAGTATGCTCTTCAAGATACTGTTTAACATAATTCCAAAAATCAGTATATTGTTCAGGTCTACCTTTATTTTGGCTACGTAAATCAACTATTATTTTATCATCTCCATTAATTAAAAGTTCTTTTGTACGTAGCATAATTTCTTTTTCTGCCATATTACTAGCTGAACTAGAATCACCTGTTAATTCTTAATATAAAGTACGGATCTGATGATTTTTAGTTGGCATTTCTAAATTAAATCAACTTTATTTTTAAATTGCATACGCATAAATTGAGTATGATAAGCTGGCATGTTACTTTTTAATTGATTGCAAATTGTATAAGATTTACTTGTTATCTCATCATTGCTTAAATTTTTATCAACACGCCATAAAAAACATGCATGAAATGTATTGTTGCCAGATGAATAACGGAAGATACCAAATTTATAACTAATATTATCAGGCAAATTATAAATAAAGGTATATTTTTTTCTAAATAATATACAATATAGTATTTATAATTAGTATAGATAATTTTAAATTAATAATTTTACTTTATATATTTACCTTGGTTTTGACGGTACAAATGGTTCAATATCTAATACCTTCCAATAAGATAAAGTAGATAGTTTATTATTTAAACTTTCATAATTGGATTTAGTTTGGGGGCTTGAAAAAAAACTAGTGCCATCATAAATTTTAATACTAATAGAATCATCTAATGATCTAACTGGAAATTCTAATTGATGATTTTTGCTTATTTCAATATTCTGTTCATTCAAATATGTAGAATATTCAATTAAACAGTTAGAAAATTTTTCTAATAAAGGGAATAACCAATTAAATTGAGATTTTTCTATCCATGGCATATTCAAATGTCCAAAAAGCAAATTTGCATATCTATTCACACAATCATAATCAAATTGCGGCCTAGCATTCTTATAACTTGATAAATCTAATCTATTAAAAAATTCTTCAAATTCTTTAGGAGGATATATTGCCCTTGCTTTCATCTTTTCAATACCACAAGTATCTATATACCATATAGCATTTAATAAATCATTTATCCAGTCAATTCTGTAGCCAATCTTCCGTTCCAACCTCTACCATTATTTCTTATCCATTCTATTATATCTTGACATAATAAATCTTTTTTGTTTGGTTTTTTTGGTAATTGAAAAGAAGGTAAAAAAATTTGAGTAGCATTAGACATAAGTTCTCTAAATGCATCTTTTCTTTTTGTATAGGTGGTTGATAATCTTCTGGAATTAGTAATTCAAATAAAACAAAATTTCCAATTGTTTGTAAAATTTCATTCAAATTATATTGAATATTAACATTAATAAATTCATCCTTTAATAAATTTCCCACTTTCACTCTCAATACAAAATCATGATAATTATTATTAATAAAAACTTCAGGAGAAATTTCTCCAGTAGCTAATAAATGAAAAAATTTGCATAATGAGGGGTTACCAATAACAGGATGTATTTGCCAGTTAAGTATTTCTTTTCTATCACTTAATACAACTTTAACGCTTACAGAAGGCATTTTATTTTTGAAGAAAAAATTTTTTATCGATATTGTATTTTAAATTTACGATTATAGTTAAGAGGTAATTTTGTATTACAGTACTAATTCAAGTTGATATAAGTCAACAGATCGAAAAGATAGCTAATACTAAGCAGGGATATGCTGGGAGCAAACCGGTCAAGCCTGAATGTAGCCGTTAATCCTAATCAGGAATTCAATCAAATAGCGTAAGAGAAACATGAAGCCAGATAAGTCAAAGGAGTTAATGAACTGCCTAATTGAGAATCATGATGAAATCACTAACAATATTTCATTGTCAAAAGTATAGATATAAGAAAGATTTGCACCTGAGCCCTCACATGTATCATTGATCTAAATTTTTTGTGCGGGTTATTGGATAGTAGATGTTCCTAGGTTCAGTTTGGTTTTAATCAAACCTGAACTCAAACCCGAATCAAACCATGCATGCTGTATATGGATTAGAATCTTCACATTCAAAATTAGGCTGTTCCAGATGAGAATTTTGGCTAAATTAGGACTTTATGATTAGGCTAGAGTTGGAATTGGGATTTAAAATCGATTCTAGTTAGTATGATTCAACCCGAGACTATTTGAATTCTGAATCGGATAATTCCAATTCGGGTATAATATATATATATACCTGTTGAGTGCTTGTTTCCGTTCTCTGGATCTCTATTTTTTTTATCATCTTATCTTAACATCCTTATGTCTGCTGCTCTCCTGTTGTAAATAGTAACATTGAATATGTTAGCATTACAGCTATTATTATAATTCCTGAAACACCTGATAAAAATTAGCCGAATAATTGTTTGGCCGATTCGGTTAAGTTAGTGATTTCGACATAATCCATCATATAATAAAATAATAAAAGCTATTATGACCAATTATAACAATAATGTCAATATTATTAAATTTTCTTCCAACGCTTGTCCAACATGCTTGGTGATTAGTTTGCATGAAAATTTATGAAAAAGACTACTCGTGTCAACCAATAAACCTTAGCAAGCAATTTAAAAAAGGGATCAGATATAAATTAGACTTTTATAACAAATATATTACATGAACAGGTGCCGCTATTAAAAAAGGTAATATGATCATGAATTTATCGACTGGTTTAAAAATGAATCTAAAAAATTTTATTTGTTTATATTTATTTATACATTGAAAATTTTAGTACGTGTACTAACGATTAAAATTAGTTCATCCATCTGAAGCAGATAGTTTAGAAGACTTGCTGACACCTAAGTGTTTAGCAGTTTGTCGAACTGATAAGACTTCTAAATTTTTTTTCAACGATTTTCTAGCGAAGGTGCTTTGTAAATATCATTTCTAGAGATATCCCAAATTTTTTAAAAATAAATTTTTTGTCTTCGACATGAAAGAAATAAATAAATGCCCTCGTTTGAATGAAAATGGATCTTTTCAAAGAATAGGAATCGAAATTTAATTCAGTTTTTTAAAAACGAATTTTCATTGAAAATAATTAAAAATGAATAAAGGCTTCGTTTAAACGAAAATAGATCTTGCCAAAGAATAGGAATTGTAATTTTGCACAATTTTTTAAAAATGAATTTTCGTTGAAAATAATTAGAAATGAATAAAGGTTTCGTTTGAACGAAAATGGATCTTGCCAAAGAATGGGAATTGAAATTTTACACAATTTTTTAAAAACTAATTTTTCGTCTTCGACAAGAAATGAAAAATAATTAGAAATAAATAAAGGCTTCGTTCGTTTGAACGAAAATGGATCTTGCTAAAGAATAGGAATTGAAATTTTACACAATTTTTTAAACCCAAATTTTCGTCGAAAATAATTAGAAATGAACAAAGGCTTCATTTGAGCGAAAATGGATTGTACCAAAGAGTAGGAATTGAAATTTACAACTTACAAGCGCATGTCGATATTTAGTCTTATTGTAATATATATTAGTCATCTGATCTTATTAAATTACCGTTATCTACACATATATCGTGTCATTACTTAAATATACTAACTAGGTCCAATCCATACACGTACATAAGCTCTATTTTTTTGTTTGATATCCTTACTTAATGATGCATCATTCCCTCAATGATAATGCATGAAACAAAGAAAAATATTCTTATACTGTCTATATATGGTCATTAGTGTATGCACATCATTTTCTCAATGATAATATTTTCTGCAGTAAAAAAATAACAATATATAAACTACATGTAAAAAATTTTGATGAATAATATTATTCAACTATAAGACGAAGATATTTATGTCGATGAAAAACTCATTATTAATTCTTTCTTTAAATTTTTAATCGATGATCTATTTAATGAACATTTCATGCTTGACAAACCTCCAGTCGAAACAATTAAAGGAATTTTACAACAGATTTACCAGAAAGCTCAGGGGTATTCGTTAGGGTATTCAATAAACTAATTGATCAAAACTTAGTTAGGGTCATATATGATGATCATTAATTTCGGATTTATTTAAAGGGTTATTTCACATATAAATTTGTACTAATTTAGGTTACATTTTTCTACACAACCAACAAACAAAATTGTATATGTTTTTTTAAAACCGTAGTTCTAGACTAGCTCTACACTATAACAGAACCGGTTTTTTAATAACTTTTAATAAAATTTTGGATTAATTTTTATTAATAATTGTCGCGGCTGATGCTGAAATTTTGACTTATTTTATTATGAAATTTTGAAAAATTTTCAGGCCTTTTCGTTAAGGGTTTTTTTTAGTGTTAGGTTAGGGTTTGAGGGTAGTGTTATTGGTACAAAAGTATATGTAAATTTTAGTAGGTATTATAGATTTAAATTGAGACCCTAAATTTCAGCATCAGCCGCGACAATAATTAACATAGGTTATTAAAAAACCCGGTTCTGTTACAATGTAGAGCTAGTCTAGAACTACAGTTTAAAAAAAATATATGGTACAATTTTGTCTGTTAGTTGTGTAGAAAAATGTACCTAAATTAGTACAAATTCATATATAAATTTATATGTGAAATAACCCTTTAAAAAATCCGAACTTAATGACCCTAACTATGTTTTGATTAATTAGTTTATTGAACACCCTAAAGTTCTACGCATCAACTGGATCACGACTATTGCTACTCGGATGACTCGGCTACTCAAGTCATTAAAGTAACTCGGCTTGTTTTTATAACGGATGGAGTGCGGGTCAATCTCTAGGTAGATATAATATAATTGATCAATGATTAATCCAATATTTCGATTATGTACGCTCGAGCTTATTCATACTCGATTAAGCATATAATTGATTTTTGATCGATTAAGAAAAATTTTTTTTATTCAGTCATCGATCAACGATTTTTGTCGAGTCAATTCCTTAGTTGATATAAATTGCAAAAATTTAAGCAAACTTTATTGGTAAGATGATTGAATAAAAGTCTTAAAATTTTAAAATTTCGACAAAAATTGACTGGAACCAACCTAATTAAGGCTAATTTGTCGGGAAAATGATAGGATCCGATATTAAATTGAAAATTACATAAATTACATTTACGTTACAAATAAATTACACTGTAACTTACAAAAGTGTAATGTAATATAGCATCGGTATATATACTTCATTATCGTAAGAATTACTTACTGTTTGCTAATGTTTATTTGATTTGAACTAAATTCGTTTGCATTAAATTTATTAGAAACATACTACATGATCAAATATTAAACGAAAGTAACTTCCTGGTCCTCTTCTCACAAAGTTCAGTAAACATTGCTTTTATAATTGGGGCACCGAATTCAATGGCTCCAACATTGTAAGTGATTATATTATTTCTCAATAATGTAGAAAATATATATTCACCTTTCTCCTCATCTTCAAATAGCCTAATGATATCTCCCCTGGTAAAGTTTGCATCCAGGTTATTGCATATGAATTCGAGAATTGTTGGTTTCGATTTTTCGGGAATATAAGCATCCCATGCTATCCGATAAACATCTTTGATCATGCTAATCCGTTCTGCATTAAACAAAAAGTTTATTTTACTTAATAATCAACCATTATGATATGACAATAGAACAATAGCTTACCATCAATCTTTTTAATAACTTCTTCACGAAATTCGTCATCATTATAATCAACGCGTTTTCCTAATATCTTACGTTTATTTATAAGTTTATCTATTACAGAAACTACAGAGACAATGTGAGAAATTCGACCCCCACATAGGTCAAATATCCTCTTTGCCATTTGAGTGTCCATCTTGCAATTATTAGTTAAATAAGCTAAAGCTTCATCTTTACTGAAATCACCAATGTACAAAGTTGCGCAACGCGAATAGGAAGAATTTTCTGGGCATTATTATGAGCAATTATATTAGTTAAGAGTGCACGTGTATTCACATTTAAAAAATTTAAATAAAATTTAAATGCTATTACTCATGAAATTTTTGATTAAATTTGCATCGCTTGCTATGAATACCACGGTGTAGAGACGGTGATCTGCTGCAGTTTTAGCAATATTTTGGAGTTCTTCGACATCTCTTTCCGAGATTTCAGCGATATCATCAATTATAAGTATTGGATGAATGGAATATTTCTTTGCCACCTTCGAAGCAAATTCTTCGAATCTCGATAAAACATTCTGCCAATAGAATTTATACGAGTGAGAAGTTCCTAGATAATTAAAAAGCTTGTCAATATCTTAATTATTTTTTATTTCTAAGCAATAAATATAATTACTATACCAGTTAATTGATATGACAGGCATTCGATAAGATTAACATCAAATTTGGGATAATTAATCGTTTTTGCCAAATCTTTCAATGTTTTCTGATTCTTCGACATATATTCTGCCTTTTTTAAAACTTCTGGCTGCAAAATTAACTAAAGTGCTTTTCCCACAACCATGAGGACCAATAATAAGGTAATAGTTAGGATTATCGGACATTGGTTGCATGATCCCACTAATTCGTTCGATTTCTCTTCTTTCCTTAAAAATATCATCTCTTACTGGTGGCAGCTCAGTATTAAAAAAACTTCTTAAAGTTTGTAAATCATTGTAGTTTTGAATTGAATAAATTGAAGCAACAGATCCAACAAGTCCATATAAAACAAATCTCGCAAATGATATATGACATGCTTGATAAGCTTTAGAATCGAAATGATTTTGACGTATTTGGTTGTTCTTTAAGCATTCTGGCCACTTTAAATTAGGCTATTATGATATAAATTTCTGAAGCTTGAAGATTTTATAATACTGTAGCTTACGTTTTTAATGACCCTATTACTACAAGGCATACTAACTGGACGATATTTGCAATATAAACGAAGCATTTTTTTGTTTTTTTTTCGAATAGGTAACAATACAAACTTTGGAATAACATAATTTATAATTTGGGCCGGACATTGTGTCCTCGGAAAGTTTCGGATGAGTACAGATGAATCACATATCAACCATCGCAATGTAACTACGTAATAGCATCTGTTATGCCTAGAACATTTTTCTTTTTTCTTTATTTAGTATTTTATTATTTTATCAGTATTATTTTTATTAGTTTCTTATTTAGGTATAGTCTGGGAAAATGATTATCGTGGCGTATTTAAGCCCATAACTCCCGGAGGGTGTTAGAAGCTCCTGGAGAGAGTTAAGAGAGTTAAAAGCTCTCGGTAGGAGTTTAAAGCTCCAGGCTGAATTTATGAATATATAAGGATGTGGTTTCAGTCTGTGAAGGGAAGAACGGCTTTGTTGAATGATTGTTGTTAGTATTTAGTATTATTGTATAATCCGATGTATTGATTTATGCTAATAAAGATGTGTGTTAGTTTATTGATTTAAACCATTTAACCTTAATCACTATTTGTTCACGATCGAAGCTAAATTGGTCCAAGACCCTATAAGCTCTCCCACCGGTCGTAACACACCCCTTGAATGTGCCAGGTTGATGGAACAGTTAGCCACGCCGTAGCAAAATCATGTGACTCAACGGTTAACGAAGATTAACAATGTCGCGTTAAGTTGAAATGGTAAGAAAAAATAAGCATAATTTAATTAATATATTGAATTTAATCGTTCGTACAAATGATACAGTTATGAAATAGTTACACAATAACTTTGAAATAACAAGTTAACATTAATTTAATTGATCTTTTGCAACATTCTTGCCCAAACCAAGATCCTCTTTATTAATTTTTCTTTTTTACGAGAGGGAATAGTTTGAGGATCATGGTTTTCCCTCACTTCATTTAAAATAGTGCGTGACTTTTTGGCTCGATTAGACCCATTCTACTTACGCTATTTAACAAATTCGTCTTGAACGCGGATAGTAGCATCGTGACAAATCTGTGCTACAGTTTTTATCATACAAGAAGGATGTCAATTGTGAGAATGAAAGCAATCTTGATGCACAATATCTTGTAATAAATTTATCCAAAGTGGTATCCAGCATTTTGGTAATCATTTTTGATTTCTTGCAAGAAAATATCAACCTCTCATTCTGCTCAACCGAAAAACTATTAGCTTCTTCACTCTGCTCAACTAAATCATCAACTTCATTCAGCTCAACCGAAAAATCATCACTTCTTCATTTTGTAAAATACGAAACTATTTATTAATTCAATAAAAAAAGTATACTTTGAAGTTACTACCAATATTCAATCAGATGATTCTGATTTTTGTAAATGGTCTTGTGAAATAGAACTAGTCTATAACGAAGCATAAAGGAATTGCTTTTTGCGACTTGACCTAACAAAATAAAGATCTATCGAATTAATCAGAAATATATCTATATTTGTATGTATTGATATTATAAAGAAAATAATCCAAATGAATGTAGAAAAATTTTTTTTTGTTCGTCAACTCCATGTACTAACGCCAATTTGTCGTCGTTATGCTCAAAATACATATCATTATTAAATGCATTCGAACTATTTTTGAAATGTTATTAACGTTGAGCAGAAAGAGTATGGGAAAATTTAATATTATAAATTATATGTATGATATATCACTGGGCTTAGGTCAACTGCGCCACCAACCTGGCACACGTAAATGGAATCGGGGTTGATGAAGATTTTAATAAAGCATTTGAATACTATAAAAAAGCTGCTAATATGGGTGTTTATGCAGCAATGTGTAATATTGCATGATATTATCGAAATAGCATTGGTACAAAGAAGGATGTTCAGAGTGCAAATTATTTGTTTGCAAAATATAGAAGTCTTTTGAAAACATGAGAGATTTAAATTATCTTGGATTGAATTCAGAAATATCAAAGACGATAGAATTAATGGTGTATGACGAAATTTTGCACCCAAGGTGATTCATAATTCAACCAAAATGAACAAGAATTTATCCAGGGATTAAAAAATTGGTTACAAGAATCCTTCGTTTTTGGAGTATCAAGAAATAATTATGGTGATTATATTATTGTTTTGGATTATACATCAACAGGTTCGTTACGACAAAATCTTGTACAAGTATCACAGTTGGAATGGAAGGATAAATTGAGTATCTTGCAATGTATAGCTTTGGATCTCGAGTCGATTCATTCGCAAGAACTCGTTCACAGAGATTTACACAGTGGAAACATTTTGCAATATTTTGTTTTGCACAGCGCATATATCACAGATCTTGGACTTTCTAGAAAAGTAAAGGAAAGAAAAATTTGTGGTGTGCTGCCATATATAGTACCTGAGATTTTGATGGGTTGACCGTACACTCAAGCGTCAGATATTTACAGTATTGGGGTTATCATGACAGAAATCTCGACCGGTCAAAGAGCATTTGATGGAATTCCGTTTGATGGTTATATTGTATCGAAAATTATCGGTGGATCAAAGCCTAAATATTTAGGATCTGAATGTTATATTCAATTAGCTATGAAATGTATGGATGAAGACGACCCAGTGCAACAGAAATTACTGAAATAATCTCCCGTTGGTTAGATGAAATCAAAAAAACAAATTTTGGATGATAAAATTAAGCCAGAACCAATTAAACAAATACATTCACAAGAAATTTATGCTAGTAAGTTATATGATACGAATAAAATTTCAGATTATTTTTAGTGCTATAAGAAATTCGAATTGAATTCTAAAACTTATTTTTAAATTAAGTAAATTATATAAAATATGTGTTGATTTTTATCTCTGCTTTTATTTAACTCATTAAATATTTATTTATTTTATTTATTTATTTATTTATTTTTGAAGCATTAATAAAATTATAAGCTTTTTTTACATTTATTTATTTGTTTATTAAATGAAGTTTTACATATAATATTAGCAATAGGGGTTTCTGATTTATTATTTCGAAAAAAGTGGAAGGTAAAGAAAGTCCTATTTCTTTTAAAATTCCGAATCTGATAATTAAATAAATATACTAAGCGATAAAATTAGCTTTTTGTTAAATATCCACTAGTAAGAGATTATATAAATAAGTATATACACGTACTTTTTTTTAAAAAAATAGGATTTATAGGTTACTTGTTTTGAAATAAATACGTCATCTGAAACCCACTGATGATTTAATCTACAAATCAAATTATTAACAGTATCAGAGTTAAACTGAGCCCATTTAGATGAAGAAATTAATTACTTTCAAGGCGATGTTAAAAAGTACTTTGCTAATAATATTAAATTGGATTTTTTTTTTTTAGCTTTCATTTCTTGTAATAGAATAAATGAAATTTTCAAATAAATTACTGATTTTTGACTTTTAGAACAACGATCGGCTTTTTTTTTTATTTGATTAATATATGTTTTCAAGTATTTGTTCAAAAGATTCATGAGCCAAGTTAGTGATTAAGAAAAAAATTCCGAATATACTTAAAAAATACTTAGTAAATCAGAAAACACCTGTCATTTTTTTTTTTTTGCATATATGAATGGTGAATAATTAAAGATATTTGATGTAATTTGTAGCATCAATAAGTGATCATTGATCGGTGAAAATTCAGAAATGACAATATACATGGTATATATTTAGATTAGAAATATATTGATGTGATGACGAATAAATTATAATTATAAAAATATCAATATAGGTAGTCTGTTAGGAAAAATCTCCATTTTGCACTTTCTGACCAATTTAAGATTTGAATTTAAGTTAAAGTATCGATTATTATTTATATGCTGTAGAATATTATACATTAGCCTAATAAAATGGTGAATTTGAAAAATCAATCTTCAAATTTAACTTTGCGAATTGAATTCAAGATATGACTTTGTTCATACAAAAATTTGTCGTTATAACAATATCACTAACTGTGACGCACTAATTTTTTTACCCACATTTTTGATTGGCTGTACTATATAAACAACATGTAATGATCCTTTTTTTTTTTATCTTCTAGCAAAAGTTTCTCAATGACTGTGTGATTAATCTTAATAAAATTTTTTATTTTGATTTTGTGCCGGTAGTTATCGAGAAAATCTCATTAGAAGTTTTAAAAAATCATGAAAATCGGAGAAAATATGGCTACGATAGTGGTTTTTAAAATTTAAATGAAAATTTCTCAACACTTATCTATCCAAATTCAATGGAATTTTTTATTTTAATTCTGTGAATATGTAGAATTAAAATAAAAAAAAAGTTTATCGAATTTGGATAGGTGGTCGTTAAGAAATAATGATATAAAGTTAAAAAAAATTTGCCCGCAGCTTCTCTTTTACTGATGCATAAATTTTTACTCGACCCTATAAAAAAAGTCGATCCGTGTTTTATATTCCATGTTTTTTCCGTAAATGTTGCATATTCGCTGAGATTATTCGGATTGTCTAGATTTTGTCGATCACGTTGTAAAATTTTTTACAGGGCGACACATGCCTAGTCTAATTTGGTCAAAAAATTTTTATATTAATTCTATAATCTCATATAATTAAAATAAAAAAAAAGATCGAATTTGGTCAGGTATGTATCGAGTAATCTTTGTTCAAAGTTTTGGCACAAGTGTAGTCATCGTAAGGGACTGTCATGCTGAGTTCAACTCCGATGGTTGTCGTTAGAAAATCACATGAACTGGGCAATAACTTATGGTACTCGGATATTCATGATTTATTAGGCATTTATTATAAAAAGAATGTGAATTTTTGTGAACTTTATTTAAAGAGGAATTTGGAGAGCGAATGTTGTTCTCAACTAAGGGTGAAGACACACTCTTATATACATTTTAAGTTTATAAAGACGAACATTATTATGTTTAAAAATCCTGTGTTTGAAAAGATGAAATTCTCTGATTATGTGTACCAATGGCAAACATACTTATTATTTAACAAAATTCAAAAAATAAAATCTATATTTGAGACTTTTAGTAGCCTTCTGTAAATGAAATATAGCT